CACACACACACACACACACACACACACACACACAGAGACACACGACACAGACACACACACACACACACACACACACACACGACACACACACACACACACACACACACACACACAGAGTTCAGCTGATGTATGTGGGGATGAGGTCGAGCATCTCCTGCTCGGAGAAGATGTGGCCTTGCGCAAGCTTCTGACCAATGTAGCCAAGAAGGCCACCAAAGTCAATCGTCTGGCCGCTGACGTTCGCCTGGGCAATGAGGCGGGCGCGCTCCGCCACGTACGGGTGTAGGCCAACAGGGAAGTCTTTGCCAGCGGTCGGCACACTGAAGCGGGCGTCGTCGTTCTGCCAGATTGGGGCGTTCAGCTTGCGCAGGGCCTCCGCGGACGCAAGGACGGCGAAGGAGGACACAAACACGTCGTCCACAAACAGCGTGGAGCCGTCGTTGGTGACTGGGGTGTAGAACTCATCGTCCGTCGTCTCCGTGATGCTGGTGATGACAACGGTGTACACAAAGCCAGCGTCGTCGTAGCGCACGAGGCGGTCGCCAACAACAAAGTCCTCTGCAAAAATAAACTCGCCGGCGGGCTTGGTGATGGATGCGCTCGACACATCCACGTCCTCGCCAGCGCGGAAGATAAAGTGGTCGGGCGTCGAGGTGAGCACACCAGCGTTGCCGTCCTTGTCCGTGTAGCGCAGCTCCACAAAGGGGCTGGGCTTGTTGCGCTGGACGTTGATGAATGTCTTCATGTCGCAGTAGGCCAGGCTGTTGCCGTTCGAAGCCGACAAGCAAAGCACACGGTCACCAGTCTTGAGGTCACGCAGCTGCACGCGCTCGCCGCTCTCCAAGATAATCTCGGCCCAGCCAGGGAAGCAGGGCGCGGTGGAAGGTGGGTCAGTTGCCACAAGCGGACAAAGCAGATTGGAGTTGAAGGGCCGTGCACTGCACACGTGAGTAAATGAGCCGTCAAGGTTGGCCGTGGAGAGTGTCGAGCTGAAACCAGTCCGGGCACCAGCGTCCATTGCATTGTAATCAGCATAGCTCACGATATGCGACTGCACTGCCCAGAAAGCCGCCGCAGATGACGTGATATTTTCGTACTCGGGATCTGCGTCTTGACTGAGTGCAACGCAGCGAATGATGTTGCCCGTCTCAACACCCGTCACAGTAAACACAATTTGGAGTCCGTTCACGCTTGCTGATGGAGTGGCAACAGTGGGGCACTCAGGCGTAATGGTTGTTGTTGTTGTTGTTGTTGTTGTTGTTGTTGTTGTTGTTGTTGTTGTTGTTGTTGTTGTTGTTGTTGTTGTTGTTGTTGTTGTTGTTGTTGTTGTTGTTGTTGTGCCTAGCAGCACACTTGTGACCTTGCACCGATTGAACCGAAGGTTGCACGACTGCAGAGCAGTGACCACCTGCATTTGATTCAGACAACGAGCGAGGGAGACACGGAGAAAGCAAGACGAAGACAGGAGGAATGTGTGATGGCATGATAATTGAGCCAATTACAACATAAACAAAAAGAAAATCACAAGTGTTCGAAAGACGCTCGACACTTCCCCGCTATTCCCTAATCGCAACCGTCGACCTGCCATACATGCACATCAGCTCACAACTACTCACTGAGGCGTCCTTGGCAGCGACGCTAAACTTGTTGCTGCTCAAAACCGTCACTGACGATGCATCCGTCACCAACAGGTCGCATGCCTGCCATCAATCAAAGCAGAAGAGACAGACGTGCACAGGTATCCCGCACGACAGTGAATAACTGCATCAACAGTGATCGTCGGCCAGGAGCACACAATACACACACTCTCATCCAAACAGAGAGCACACGCACACACACACACACTCCCTCACTCACACACACACACGCACGCACACACACACACACACACACACACACACACACAAGCACAGCACGCATGCATGCCCACAAGCGCCCTCACATCAAGGCCGCAGTCCTCCTGGATGGCATTGCGAAGTTGATTGGCGAACTTGTCCAATTCTGCGTCGGTGAACTGGTCAAACTGTTGGTTACGGCGGCACTTTGTCTCCACGACGGCGCTCGTGGTGTAGGTGGTGGACCCACACAAGGCCGTGTTGCCTGCCGCCACATAATCAGCAGCCTTCAGAGTACACTGCATGAAACGGACTTGGTGGTTGTCCATGCAGCTCACGATTTGGTCGACGGTCTTCATGTGTGTTGGTGTGTGTGTGTGCGTGTGTGCGTGTGTGTGTGTGTGTGTGTGTGTGTGTGTGTGTGTGTGTGTGTGTGTGTGTGT